TCGTGCCAAGCAGGAGGAGCTGGAAGCTGCCCTGCAGCGGACCAAGCAGGATATGGTGCGGCAGCTGCGCGAGTACCAGGAACTCATGAGCGTGAAGCTGGCCCTGGACATCGAGATCGCCACCTACCGCAAGCTGCTGGAGGGCGAGGAGAGCCGGTGAGGACAAGGACGCTGGAAAGGGGATCCTTCTAGGGCTCCGTGGGGTCTGGGGCTTGACATTCATCCATTTACAAGCATTTCCTGTGTGCCCCTCCTCTGCAGGGCACTGGGTGTGGGGATGCAGGGGACACAGAGCTGACGCTTGCCTCTTTGCCTTCAATGAGATGAGCTTCTGGAAGGAAAGACCATGGAGTGTGAAGCTCAGTGGGCAGGTTGAAATGATAACAGTCCCTTTGTGTGTGTGGCTTCTTAGGGTTATCATATTTGATCCTCAGCACACATTCAGGTAGTCAGGTCAGAGATGATTGATTCCTTAGTCTCCAGAGGGGAAAACTGTGGTTGAGTTTCATCAATTGAGGGAACAGGGCCAGTGTGCAGTCAGGGTGTGCTGATTCCTGCTCCAAGGATCTTGCAGGACGCCAAGCTGCTTCTCACTACAGAACTGAGTGCTACATCATGTGGTGTTAACTGACTGTGGTGGAGGGGGATAATTTCGTTTGTCCCCAGAGATATTTGCAGACTCACTTGTAGTCAGAGAGGAGGCTGCAATGGGTGAGTCTGATAGCACATTCTTCATGAACCACATGACACCTCTGTCCATGCAGCTGGGCCTTCATGTATGTATTGTTGGGTTAGAACTCAACCTCTTCATTCTTGGCTTGTTGTAAGACACCATGGCGATAGAGAATATGTAGGACATGTTTCTGCCCTCAGGGAGGTGCAGAGGGTGGAGGAGAGAAAACATCCACAAAGGAAACCCCCAGAGACAAGTAACTTGCATTTGTAAAATGCTGAGTGTATATAAGAACTTTTTCTTTTCTGAGTATTATTCCTGAGGGGCCAGAGAGAGACATGATGGAGGATGAATGGAGCAGCAGGGAAGGGACTGGGGAGTGAAGGGGTGCTCGGGTCAAGGGCCAGGGTGCTGGGGCCGAGGGCCTGGGCACTGGGAGGCGGAGAGGAGACACAGGGCTGCAGGGTATGAGTAGGGGGCGGAGAGGAGGAGGAAGGGGCTTTGCCCCTGCCACTGACCCGCCTTCTCCCTGGGTTAGCACCCAGTCTTCTTTGTGGGAAGAAGAATTGAACACCAAAGGCCTCTGGGAACACAGAAGCTGATCTGGGCACAGGGAGCTCCAGCCAAGATGCCTCTCTCTGCTTCCACCTCTCTCATGGGGCACAGGGCCCCCACATTCTTTAGAACCCATACCCTGGGCCTTCTGTCGTCATAGAAGTCAGAGGTGGGGGACTCTTAGAGTGGTACCTGATCTGGCTTCCTCCCATGGGAAGAAAAGGGGACTGAAGCTCAGAAATGGGTCAGTAGTGTGCCCAAGGTCACACAGCATGCAGAGACATCCTCTTCCGAAAGCTTAATCTCAGTCTGAGCTGCTATAACCAGGCTTCGATTCAGGTACTCTGAGAGGATGCGGTTCCCCCATCCCTGGGGGGATATGGAGGTAGATACCTTGCTTTTATCCCTTAACTTATCAGAGTTGTGGTCCAGAAACTCATTCAAACTGGGAGGCCTACTTTAAGAATACCAAGTTACCAAAAGAACACCCACTTATTTAGAATGAGAAAAGTCACACAGGTCACTGGGGCCTTGGGCATTCAGGCCTCTTCCGTCTGAGTTCTTTAGGCATTGTACCAGAAATTCTTAGAGTTGCTGCCTGACTGCCACCCGGCTCCCTCTCCCCACCCACAAGTGCCAGCAACTCCCAGCACAAGCAGGGGCCTTTTAAGCAAGCCCCCTGGAAGCTTTCAGCAAACCTGTCTCTTTCCCTCAGGCTTTGCTCTGCCTGCTTCCTGGGCTTGGGGCCACAGAGGCCAGCGAGGCTCCCTTTATTCCCTCTACTAAAGTGAGGTCCTCCCTGCCTCCACAGAGCAAACTGATCCCCAAGGCCAAGGGTTTGGTGACAATGGGGCTGTGAGTCACAAAACAAACATAGCCAGCTGTCTCGAATGGATTTTTAATTTCTACTGCAAGACCTGTTTCAGCCCCAATGGCTGCTTAAAGCCACCCCCACTCCCTGCTCCTTCCTTAGTCCTGGCTGGAGCCCCATTCAGTCAGTCAATGATTCACTAATTATGTTGACATATATTAAGCAATGACTTCTCCAGGCCTCATACTGGGGATAAAAGTATCAATAGGGCACAGACACCTTTAGGATTTTATGATATGGTGAGGAAAGGCAACCATCTACATAAATAATACACACAGCTACCATTTACCGAATCCCAGGTGCTCAGGGCTTTAGACAGATTATGTGATTTAACCCTCACAAACAAGCCCATGAATTTGGTCCTGTAGTTGGGCCCAAGGCATAGGTGGGAAATGGAGGCCCTAAGACATTGCCTGGGATCAGGTGGCCAGTGGACAGAAGGGCCAAAGTGAACACTCCCTTCCTGCATGCCTCCTTGCTCCTTTTACAAGGCTGAAGGCAGGCTGGAAGTGTGGGGCAAGAAGGAAAAATCAATGATCCTGCTTAGGGCCTGGAAGGATAGGGAGCTGAGAGCGCTTCCCTCCCAGGTCCTCTCTAGAGGACAGGAAAGCGCTGTCCTCACTGTCTGTCCTCTGCCCCCAGGTTGGCCGGAGATGGAGTGGGAGCCGTGAATATCTGTAAGTCCTTGGCTGCAGCCCGTGGGAAGCATCCCTTGTGCTGTTCAGACGGGGCTGGGTCTAGAGAATGGCAGACTGGCCCAGGGCCCTGCTGGAGGGGCCAGGAACCTCATTCCTTTCTGCAGGGTCTGGCAGGTCCCCTGGAGCACATACCTCCCAGCTCAATGGCCTGGGAAGCAGTACAAGAGGGCAGGGTGGGGCCGGGAGCACTTGGGGAGCAGCCCTACCCCTGTTAGACGCTCCTTCTGGGCTGGCCCATGGGGGTGGGGCAGGGGTGAGGGAGAGGGGCAGCTGGGACAGGAGGGTGGGGTGCAGAGAAGGGATGGGGTCCCTGGTAGGGAGCCTCACACTGAAGAGAGCCCTCCTCTTTTCTCTCCCAGCTGTGGTGAATTCCACTGGTGGCAGTAGCAATGGTGGTGGCATTGGGCTGACCCTCGGGGGAACCATGGGCAGCAATGCCCTGAGCTTCTCCAGCAGTGCGGGTCCTGGGCCCCTGAAGGCTTACTCAATCCGGACCACATCCACCAGTCGCAGGAGTGCCCGCAACTGAGCTGCCTCCCACCACTCCATTCCTCCAGCCACTGCCCACAGTCACAAGAAGATTCCCATCCCTGCCTCCCATGCCTGGTCCCAAGACCATGAGACAGTCTGGAAAGTGATGTCAGAATAGCTTCCAATAAAGCACCCTCATTCTGAGGCCTGAGTGATCCACGTGCCTGGTATCCTGGCTTCATGAGGCTGGGCAGGGGGAAAGACGGGACTAGAGAAGGCAGGGTTTCCCTGCTGACTAGGAAGCCTTTTGTGCAGGAGACTGAGAAGGCACATGGTGGGATGGGGTGCTGCTCTAAGGAGCAGGATGCTTACCTAGTGTGAGCCTTGGCCTCCAGGGCTGGGGCTGATCCAAAGATTCTCCTGAGGAACTCAGATGAGCCATGGGGAAATGCAGGCTCTGCCAGCATTTGGGCCTTGGAGTGCTGTCCTGCTAAGGGGGTAGAAAGGCTGTTTGCCTCCCTCCCCCCATGCCCAGAGCTGCCAGAACACATTCTTTTTGTGAGGAGGTCACAGACGTTCAGCTGCCCCAGGCCCCAGTTTCGGGTGGCCCAGCCAACTTTCATGCCAGCCGTCCTCAGCCCTTCCTGGTGCTGGGTCTGCCAGGCTCATGGTCAGCCAGGCCCTGGGGCCCTGGAGAGGTCCTTTGCATCTCGAATTCTGTGGGGGTAGTGGCTGGGGGAGGAGGTGTGTGTGTGCATGGGAGGAGGGTCCTAGAGTCTAGATCCCCCGTAACAGGTCTGTGCCTAGGACCTTAACGGAGGGTTGGGTTTGTTTCTGGATCCATGGGAGTGGGGAAGGACATCTGTGTTAAGTCAGGGCTTGATGGGGGCCTCTATATGTCAGTGTGGCAGGTGTTCTGTGGCAGGGTCTATGCATGGAGAAATGTGTCCCTGATGGGCAGCAGCACATATGATGGGTACTGTGGAGCCGCAGGGAGGCCTCTGTGTCTGGGATCCCAGGGGGGTGATGGTGGTGGTGTGGGTGGAGGAGCTATCTGGGATGTGTTGGCTTCTCAGAGGAAATCTGTATATTTGACCCTACGGTCAGGGAACTTTCAAATGCTGAGGTGGGGGCTGGGGTGGAGAGTGAAAGACATGGACCAGCAGCCGCAGTGATGAAGTTCCCACCCAAGGTGTCAGGAGATCAAGGCCCTCTCGCCCGACTAAGAAGACGAAGTGGGCAAGAAGAAAAAGAGACTCTCAGGGCGCATTGCATATGACTAGGAGCTTTAATGGAAATGCTGAGACAAGCACAGGGGAGAGGGAGGGAGCCAGGCAGCCAGGCGGGAGAGGTGGCCTGTCCCACACGTGTATTAGAAGACAGTGGATTAGAAGGCACAGCAAGTCCACACCAAGGGGCTCCAGGCCCATCTGTCCCTCAGAAGCCACAGGCATCCAGGCCTCTGGACCCGGGTCTTTGCCTAGGGCTGCGAGGACACAGTCCTTTAGATGCGGAGGTGGGGAGAGCTGTGGGCTAGGAGCCCTGTGCTCCCGGAAGCAGTGAAGGGACTAGCGGGAGGGGATGCGAGACGGAAAGGCGCGGTGTGGGGGCCTGTGGGGAAGCTGGGCCCCGAAGCCCTCCTTCCCCACGTCTGGGGACCCTGGGAGCTCCGGCCTGTCTCAGGAGGCTGGGACTTCTGCTGGCGTGGCGGCGTCGGTACAAAGCAGGGTGCTCAGGCGAAGCGCACGGAGCGGCTGCTGCCGCAGGTCTGGCCGCAGGGCGCACACAGGCCGGTGCTCACTGCCACGTTCCCGCTGCAGGGGGCACTGCAGACGCTGCCGGTCACCGGCCGGGAGCCCGACACGCACAGGTCCCCGCACACGACCCCGCCGCGGGAGCTGCTGACACCTGCCGGAGGGGGAGCACAGGGCTCAGTCTCCTGGCGGCCAGAGGCCTCTTCTGCTCAGATCTTCTCCCCTCTGTTTCTATCCGCTTCCCTCAACACCCTCACATGGGCACTCCTTCCTGCAGTCTTAGCCTCAAGTGTCCTTGATACACTGTTAGCCCAGGTCCTCTCTAGAGGCAGACACAGCCATGCTTCGCCTCACAACAGAGACAGGTTCTGAGAAGTACAGCATTAAATGATTTTGTCATTGTGCGAACATCATGGAGTGCACAGACTCAAACCTAGATAGTGTAGCCTACTACATACCCGGGCTCTATGGCAAGAGTGGCTATATTTTATTTATTTTATTTTATTATTTCATTTCATTTCATTTCATTTCATTTCATTTCATTTCATTTCATTTTTTTGAGATGGAGTCTCTCTCTATCGCCCAGACTGGAGTGCAGTGGCACGATCTCGGCTCACTGCAACCTCTGCCTCCCGTGTTCAAGCGATTCTCCTGCCTCAGCCTCCCTAGTAGCTGGGATTACAGGCGCTCATCACCACGCCAGGCTAATTTTTTAATTTTTAGCAGAGATGGGGTTTCACCATGTTGGCTAGGCTGGTCTCAAACTCCTGACCTCAAGTGATCCACTCGCCTTGGCCTCCCAAAGTGCTGGGATTACAGGCGTGAGCCACCGTGCCCAGGCCCCAAGGGTGTCCAGTCTTTTGGCTTCCCTGGGCCACATTGGAAGAAGAAGAATTGTCTTGGGCCACACATAAAATACACTAACACTAATGGTAGCTGATGAGCTTTAAAAAATCACATACAAAAAAAATCTCATAAGTTTTAAGAACGTTTACAAATTTGTGCTGGGCCACATTTGAAGCCGTCCTGGGCTGTATGCAGCCTTCTGGTCGCAGGTTTGACCAGTTTACTGTATAGCATAGCCGATTGCTTCTGGGCTACAAATCTGTACAGCATGTGACTGTACTGAAGACTGAAGGCAACGGTAACACCATGGTAGGTATTTGTGTATCTGAACATAGGAAAGTAGAGTAAAAATATGGTATTATAATCTAATGGGACTACTGTCCTATATTCCATCCATCCTTGACCTGAAAGTCCTTATGTGGTGCATGACTGTAGCTAATTAAGTTACTATAAGCACTCACTGCCCAACTCCGTCTTTCCTTTTAGAGTCTGCAAACTATGGTCACATGCAGGCTTCCTGTGTGTCGATCAAGTTTACTTGGAACCCAGTCATACCCCTTCCTTTAAGTATTGCCTTTGGCTGTGGCTGCTTTACATGACAACAACGGAGTGGAGCAGTTGAGGCAGAGACTGCATGGCCCACGAGCCTAAAGTTTTTACCATCTGAAGCTTGAAGAAAAAATTTGCCTGCCCAGAACCCCAGGCTCTTATTCCAGGACCCACAAAATGGATTACTTACAGACATTTACAGCACCAACGCCCTCACACAACCTTATAGGGAAAGTAAAAAGACAGAAGTTAGTTGTGGGGAGCAAAACTGGTGAAATCTGTTAACCTGCAAATTCTCTCCTCCAATTAGCGTTGAGGCACATTCCAAGTAAATAATATGCAGACATGCTCCTGGGTGTTGAAGCACTGCAGCACTGCCTGGGGGAAACTGAGGGGACACCCTCCCCACAGCTGTGGTCCTCACCTCTGCTCCTCGCCCTCCAGCAGGCGCCTGTAGGTGGCGATCTCGATGTCCAGGCCCAGCTTGGAGTTCATCACCTCCTGGTACTCCCTGATCAGGCAGGCCATGTCCTGCTTGGCCTTCTGCAGGGCGCCCTCCAGCTCGGCCAGCTTGCAGCGGGCATCACTGAGGGCCGCCTCACCCTGCTGCTCAGACTGGGCCACCGCGGCCTCCAGCTTGGAGTTCTGGGAGGCAAGGTGGGTTATTAAGAATCTCTGTTCTGGCTTCAGGGTCAGAGACCAGGTAACCACTGACCACTGACTAGTAGAGGAAGAAGAGGCCTTATCTATTTGTTAGGCCAGGGGTTGCAAATTAGTGCTCCCAGGCGTGTTTGCACGGTGTCTTCAATTTTGGAAATTTAACACAATAATTGAAATTCCTGGCTTCTTTCAAAAGATCAGAGGATCTGGCCATACTGGACCCGCATTTCTGCATGGCCTGCCTCAGTTGGAGCTGCCTAGCCCTGCCCTTTGTGCTTTCCAGTTTGCCATAATCCCGATCATACCCAAGTGCCTTGGGAACAGCTTGCTTGCTTTGCTCATTTACCAACCCCGCTGATGTTTGAATGTACGATCACTGATCTAGAGCAACAGGCTAGAGGGGTTAAATGCCTTTCTCAAGTCTCATGGCAAACTAGTGGCAGAGCTGGTTTGAGAGCCCAGATTTCCTGCCCCTTAGACTGGTGCTATTTCCTCTGCCCCACTCTGCCCTTGGAAGCAGGAAAGCCCTTGTCACCTCATTCCCTCCATATTGCCCCAATGCCTCCATTCAGCGAGAATGGAGAACATTTTCCATGGAGGAGGCTGTCCGTCCTCATGCTGGGTGTTTGCCCTTGTCCCCACACATTGGCAAGGAGTCTAACCCAAATCCCTCTGCTGAGGGCTAACCCTACTCTCTTCCTACACTGAGGAGTGGGCTGGGCTCCCACACCTGGCATTTGGCGTTCTCCACCTCGGCTGTCAGCCTCTGGATCATGCGGTTCAGCTCGTTGATCTCCTCCTTGGTGCGGCGCAGGGTCTCCCCATGTCTGATCACCGTGGCCTTCATTTCCTCGCACTGGCGAAGTAGAGATGCTCATGATGCTTAGGGTGGGACCTCCCATCCATTCAGGACACCACGGATGATTATGCAGTGCTCAGCCTGAGCAACCACACATGGCAGTCCTGCCCTGCCACCCCAACATCTGTAGGGACCAGAATCCCCAGAAAAGGAAGCCTATTTAATAGATACCTTGCATCCCTCCCACTGCCATGTCTAGCAAGCAGGTGTCCTGTGCCACTCACTTTGCTGCGGTACCAGGACTCGGCCTCGGCCCGGCTGCGGGTGACAATGTCGTCGTACTGTGCCTTGATCTCAGCGACGATGCAGTCCATGTTCAGGTCCCGGCTGTTGTCCAGCTTGACGACCACTGAGGTGTCTGAGATGTGCGACTGGAGAATGCGGATCTCCTGCAGGAGAGGGCGAGTGGCAAGAGCTTCTTAGACCAGAGCCCTACTCTTGGTAGCCCACCCTCATCATCATCCCCTGTCCCCTTTCCTGGCTTCCTCACTGTCTGAAGCTCCACTCTCCCAGTTATAGTCTTCCACCTCAACCCTGGGACCCCCTCAAGACTCCTCAAGCCCAGAGTCCTGAGGCCTAGAGGACTTGGAGGTAGAGAGTCCATGTGTGAGGCCCAGTGCCTGATTTTAATCAGGACCTTCCAGCTTGAACCTTTGGGTCTAGGACCAGAGTTTACCACCTTGTGGCAATTGTCACTTTAGTAACCAGGAACACCAGCTTGCCCGGGGCATAGCAGTGGGAGGTCAAGCCACATTTCTTCATCTGCTCATGGTGAACCTGCCTGGGGTTTCTCCCCTTGTCCCACCATGGGGTCAGAAGCTGAATTGTGACAAGTCTTTTCCAGTGTCTAACTCATATCCTCCTTGCTGCCCTGCTGCTCTGTGACCCCGCACCTCCTCATACAGCCGCCTCAGGAAGTCGATCTCCTGGGTCAGGGCCTCCACATTGGCCTCCAGGTCTGATTTGCGCAAGTAGGCACAGTCCACATCCTAAAGGGGAGAAGATGGCACAGGAGTTGCACTGGGAGACAATTCAGAACCCTTGTTTTTTTCCTACACCATCAGGCTGAGCAGCTTCCCTGGAAACCCTCTGTACATGCTCATCCCAGTGCCTGGTATCATGCCGTGGCAAAGCCCCTTATGCAGTTAGTAGTGGGGTCAAGAGCAGGTTCAGGTAAGGGAGGGGGATACTGAGGTTTGCAGGCACTTCCTCTGGTACCCACTGGGATGATTCCTCTAGAATCCATGCCATGCACTACCACGAAAACTTAGGATCTAGTGTACAATGGGTAAATTCTAATGATGCCCCACCCCTCTCCGCTCTGGAATCTCATGGAAGATAATCTAGGTCTGTGGTCAGAAAAGGGCTCAGGGCTCAACTCTGTCCCTTCCGAGTCAGTGTGACTCTGAGCAGTCCCCTTAACCTCTGCGTCTCATTTTCTCACAATAACCCCTCCTTTCCTCATAGGGAGGTGGCTGGAAGGGCCTAATGAGAGTCCAGGCACTTGTACAGAGTCAAGTCTAAGAAGCAAGGAATGACGGTCACTGTCCCTGCCTGCGGTTCTGAGTTGTTGCTGGCTTGAGGATGCAGCCATTGTCTACAATTCACAGGCTGTTTCACTTACAAATATTTATAGGGTGCCTACTCTATGCCAGGTGCAGGGCTGAAGGAGGTGAAAAGCCGGTGGCTATGTGGGAGCAACCTCAGATGGGGGAGAATATTGCACTGCCTGAAGCAGGCAGTATATTCTCTTGCCAGAGGCACCCAGGGAGCACTGGAGCACTGTGGAAAGGAATAGAAAGAAGCTGGGCTGTGTGATTCCAAGGGAGTCCCTCCACCTCTCTGAACTACAGAGAGCCTGATTTTTAGTCAAGGCCTCCTAGCTCAAACCTTTGGGTCTAGGACCCTTCTGTCTCTGGCCTCAGTTCTGAGTTAGGGGACAAGGATTCTGGGGTCACTCACCTTCTTCAAGGCCACAAATTCATTCTCAGCAGTGGCCCTTAGTGCCACCTCTTCTTCATACCTGGGGACAAAACACACAAGGCTCAGATCTGGGGAGGAAAAAAATGGGAATGAAGG